TCACGACGCTAAATCTAAGACGGTCAGACATCACGACGCTACATCTAAGACAGTCAGACATCACGACGCTACATCTAAATCAGTCAGACATCACGACGCTACACCTAAGACAGACATCACGACGCTACATCTAAGACAGACATCACGACGCTACATCTAAGACAGACATCACGACGCTACATCTAAGACAGTCAGACATCACGACGCTACATCTAAGACAGTCAGACATCACGACGCTACACGTAAGACAGACATCACGACGCTACATCTAAGACAGACATCACGACGCTACAACTAAGACAGTCAGACATCACGACGCTACATCTAAGACAGACATCACGACGCTACATCTAAGACAGTCAGACATCACGACGCTACATCTAGGACAGTCAGACATCACGACGCTACATCTAAGTCAGACATCACGACGCTACATCTAAGACAGACATCATGACGCTACATCTAAGACAGTCAGACATCACGACGCTACCTATAAGACGGTCAGACATCACGACGCTACATCTAAGACAGACATCACGACGCTACATCTAAGACAGACATCACGACGCTAAATCTAAGACAGTCAGACATCACGACGCTACATCTAAGAAAGTCAGACATCACGACGCTAGATCTAAGACAGACATCACGACGCTACATCTAAGACAGTCAGACATCACGACGCTACATCTGAGACGGTCAGACATCACGACGCTACATCTAAGACAGACATCACGACGCTACATCTAAGAGAGTCATCACGACGCTACATCTAAGACAGACATCACGACGCTACATCTAAGACGGTCAGACATCACGACGCTACATCTAAGACAGTCAGATATCACGACGCTACATCTAAGACAGTCAGACATCACGACGCTACATCTAAGACAGTCAGACATCACGACGCTACATCTAAGACAGTCAGACATCACGACGCTACATCTAAGACAGACATCACGACGCTACATCTAAGACAGTCATCACGACGCTACATCTAAGACAGACATCACGACGCTACATCTAAGACGGTCAGACATCACGACGCTACATCTAAGACAGTCAGATATCACGACGCTACATCTAAGACAGTCAGACATCACGACGCTACATCTAAGACAGTCAGACATCACGACGCTACATCTAAGACAGTCAGACATCACGACGCTACATCTAAGACAGACATCACGACGCTACATCTAAGACAGTCATCACGACGCTACATCTAAGACAGACATCACGACGCTACATCTAAGACAGACATCACGACGCTACATCTAAGACAGTCAGACATCACGACGCTACATCTAAGACAGTCAGACATCACGACGCTACATCTAAGACAGACATCACGACGCTACATCTAAGACAGACATCACGACGCTACATCTAAGACAGACATCACGACGCTACATCTAAGACAGACATCACGACGCTACATCTAAGACAGACATCACGACGCTACATCTAAGACAGACATCACGACGCTACATCTAAGACGGTCAGACACCACGACGCTACATCTAAGACGGTCAGACACCACGACGCTACATCTAAGACAGACATCACGACGCTACATCTAAGACAGACATCACGACGCTACATCTAAGACAGTCAGACATCACGACGCTACATCTAAGACAGACATCACGACGCTACATCTAAGACAGACATCACGACGCTACATCTAAGACGGTCAGACACCACGACGCTACATCTAAGACAGACATCACGACGCTACATCTAAGACAGACATCACGACGCTACATCTAAGACAGACATCACGACGCTACATCTAAGACAGACATCACGACGCTACATCTAAGACAAACATCACGACGCTACATCTAAGACAGACATCACGACGCTACATCTAAGACAGACATCACGACGCTACATCTAAGACAGACATCACGACGCTACATCTAAGTCAGACATCACGACGCTACATCTAAGACAGACATCACGACCCTACATCTAAGACAGACATCACGACGCTACATCTAAGACACACCACGACGCTACATCTAAGACAGTCAGACATCACGACGCTACATCTAAGACAGTCAGACATCACGACGCTACATCTAAGACAGACATCACGACGCTACATCTAAGACAGACATCACGACGCTACATCTAAGACAGACATCACGACGCTACATCTAAGACAGACATCACGACGCTACATCTAAGACAGACATCACGACGCTACATCTAAGACAGACATCACGACGCTACATCTAAGACGGTCAGACACCACGACGCTACATCTAAGACGGTCAGACACCACGACGCTACATCTAAGACAGACATCACGACGCTACATCTAAGACAGACATCACGACGCTACATCTAAGACAGTCAGACATCACGACGCTACATCTAAGACAGACATCACGACGCTACATCTAAGACAGACATCACGACGCTACATCTAAGACGGTCAGACACCACGACGCTACATCTAAGACAGACATCACGACGCTACATCTAAGACAGACATCACGACGCTACATCTAAGACAGACATCACGACGCTACATCTAAGACAGACATCACGACGCTAAATCTAAGAAAGTCAGACATCACGACGCTACATCTAAGACAGTCAGACATCACGACGCTACATCTAAGACAGACATCACGACGCTACATCTAAGACAGACATCACGACGCTACATCTAAGACAAACATCACGACGCTACATCTAAGACAGACATCACGACGCTACATCTAAGACAGACATCACGACGCTACATCTAAGACAGACATCACGACGCTACATCTAAGTCAGACATCACGACGCTACATCTAAGACAGACATCACGACCCTACATCTAAGACAGACATCACGACGCTACATCTAAGACAGACATCACGACGCTACATCTAAGACACACCACGACGCTACATCTAAGACAGTCAGACATCACGACGCTACATCTAAGACGGTCAGACATCACGACGCTACATCTAAGACAGACATCACGACGCTACATCTAAGACAGACAGACATCACGACGCTACATTTAAGACAGTCAGACATCACGACGCTACATCTAAGACAGTCAGACATCACGACGCTACATCTAAGACGGTCAGACATCACGACGCTACATCTAAGACAGTCAGACATCACGACGCTACATCTAAGACATACATCACGACGCTACATCTAAGACAGACATCACGACGCTACATCTAAGACATACATCACGACGCTACATCTAAGACAGACATCACGACGCTACATCTAAGACAGACATCACGACCCTACATCTAAGACAGACATCACGACGCTACATCTAAGACAGACATCACGACGCTACATCTAAGACATACATCACGACGCTACATCTAAGACAGTCAGACATCAGCCAGTGCCAGACAAGCTGGAACTTAATTGACCCGATGATTCGGGGCAGCCAGTACGCAAAGGGCGGGTGTATTGATCCCTACAGCCTTATGGCGACCCCAGTCTACAGTTGATCCCTACAGTCTTATGGTTTCACGTGACTATGTACACAGTTTTTTGTGACTGTACAGTGCGTCTAGATCTCAGTCACGATATCATTCAATTATATGCTTGCAATTTTTCTTCTATCTTATAAACCAGGAATCTCCAAACTTTTCAGCCCGCGGGCCTTAGTTTAGAGACTCCTGTTATAAACGATTGTTATTTTGAAAGTTGGCCCAACCAATCTTTCTAGAACACACCACGCACCATCATCATCATCTTCTACTTGCTTGCTATGTCGTCTTGGGAACAATTATTTGTTTGTTATTTGATTCAACTTGTCAGTTAATTTTTGTAATTGTGTTTTTGCTAAATTTCCATTCTCCCAGTTGAGAGCATTGCTGAGGTTTAACCGAAACGTGTGTGATGTTTTCAACAGTGTGTATCTGTGTGATGTTTTCAACACTGTGTATCCGTGTGTTGTTTTCAACAGTGTGTATTTGTGTGATGTATTTTACCTTAGTGTCTTAATTAGCGTGTATTTCTCATGTGATGTATTACTATATGTTTGTGTGATGTATGATAATCTTATGTCAAGTCAGATAAAATCATATGTTGAACTCTAGATGTTTTATGATTAGCTACGTTTATGTTAAACTATATTTGTTTTATATTAATTTTTGTTCTTGTTATGTGAATATTTGTTTTGTTTTGTGTTAAACTATTTTCGGTTGACGTTCAACTGCTACTTGTTTTATCTTAAAACTATGCATGTCTTGTGTTATGTTTTCCTCACAGTGCTGTTCTGTGTTGCACTTGTTTTATCTTAAAACTATGCATGTCTTGTGTTAAGTTTGCCTTACAGCGCTATTCTATGTTGCACTTGAGAAAGTTTGAAAGATGTGAACAAGAGCTAAGATCAAATTTCTCTAGTCCGCGTGTACCTGTCCGTTAGGGGTGAGTAGAGCCTGCACTCATCGCTCTCTTGGACAGGTGTTGTGTAATCACCTGTCTAATCCTGCATGTCATGGCGTCTGTTGTACCGAGTGTTGTTGTACCGAGTGTTGTTGTACCGAGTGTTGTTGTACCGAGTGTTGTACCGGTTGTTATACCGCGTGTTGTTGTACCGAGTGTAGTTGTACCGAGTGTTGTTGTACCGAGGGTTGTTGTACCGAGTGTTGTTATACCGAGTGTTGTTGTACCGAGTGTTGTTGTACCGAGTGTTGTTGTACCGAGTGGTGCTGCATGAATGCCGTGTATGTGTGTGTTTGTGTGTGTGTGTGTGTGTGTGTGTGTGTGTGTGTGTGTGTGTGTGTGTGTGTGTGTGTGTGATTTTGCCTGAACTTGTTTGATTTTGTTTCCCCAGGTCTGCCATAAGACCCGACCACCACGGTACCAGCAGCGCCACCCTGTCAGTACGCCAGGAAATATGCAGGATCGAATCCTGCCCACCCCGAGAAACTGGATTACACAATACACCGACACTACTTCCGCTTTGTGGATACACTAGCGATGGATACACTAAGGATGGATACACACGATGGATATTTTTAGCCAGGCCCGCGTGTCCGTGACCAGCGGCTACTCCTGACCTTGACCCTGAGTTTTGACGATCAGGTCACGTGGCTGTCGGAGGAGCATATTGATGGGCGATGCTGGGCCGAGCCCTCGAGCACGGGCTACCACCTCGCCCTGGATACCAAGGTAGGTCTTTGGCTACATGCTACACTGTGGCTACATGCTACACTGTGGCTACATGCTACACTGTGGCTACCTGCTACACTGTGGCTACCTGCTACACTGTGGCTACCTGACACACTGTGGCTACCTGCTACACGGTGGCTACCTGCTACACGGTGGCTACCCGCTACACTGTAGCTACCTGGCACACTGTGGTTATCTGCTACACTGTGGCTACCCGATACACTGTGGCTACCTGACACACTGTGGCTACCTGCTACACTGTGGCTACCTGACACACTTTGGCTAACTGACACACTGTGGCTACCTGCTACACGGTGGCTACCTGCTATACGGTGGCTACCTGCTACATTGTGGCTACATGCTACACTGTGGCTACCTGCTACATTGTTCCTGTTTCTCACGTCTTCTCCTTTGCTACACAACATTAACGATAAAGGTGTACATTAAGGTATAGGGCTTCCCTAAAGGTATACATTGAGGTATATCCAAAGGTATATATTAAGGTATATCCAAAGGTATATATTAAGGTATACCAAAAGTTATATATTAAGGTATACACAAGTGTATATATTAAGTTATACCCAATGCTATATATTAATGTATACCCAAATGTATATATTAAGGTGTACCCAAGGTATACATTAAGGTATACCCAAAGGTATACATTAAGGTATACCCAAAGTTATACATTACGGTATACCCAAAGAACCAACCTACGAGGGCTCCCATACACGTCTGCATATGAATGGTCACGTGGTATGGACCAGGTCTGGTCATCTGACCGCCCCAGGTGCTCTTTAGCCCTGTCATCGATCGACCCCCGGGCTGACACCCCCCACCCCACACAATTAAGCGCACGCCCCTGGCCACCAGGGGAGGAGACCCTAATCAATGGCGAGTATAGACAGTAACCCTAACCTTCAACACTGGTCGGACTGCCGGCTTTAGCGACATGTTAATCGTCTCATTGATTGACGTGAAGCGGTCTCAACTTTCTCGGCAGGGTCTCTTCTGTTAGCTGGTTTAGCTGCAGCTAGACAGTTGTTAGCTGCAGCTAGCCCTGGCAGTTGTTGACTGCAGCTATAGTCTGTTAATCGTTGGCTTTATCTATCATCATCATCATCATTCCTTTGTGGCCCCTGGGGAGCAAAAGGGCTGCCCCCTTTATCTATGCCCATGTGAGCCCAGCTGTTTTCGCCTCTTCTTCAACCTTTCTTCTCCATTTCTTCCTTGGCCGGCCCACCCTCCTTTTTCACTGGGGATTCTATTCTAAAGCATGCCTTGCGATGTTTCCTTTTTCCTTTCTTAATGTGTGTCCGATCCATCCCCATTTTCGGGCCTTAACATCTGTCTCTATTGGCTGTTGCTTTAAAGTTTGCCACAGGTCTTTGTTTGATATTTTGTCTGGCCATCTTATTTAAATATATGCCGTAAGCATTTGTTTACGAACGCCTGTAGCTTATTAGTATTTGTCTTCGTGACCCTCCAAGTATAGACCCAGTAAATTGGAAGATTTTTCCTTGTAACTGTTAGCTTTGGTTAATCGTTTTAGTGTTAGAAGCATTTGAATAGTTCTTTACCAAATTTCCTCAGTAGAAGTATAGCATGGTTATCCAGCATTAAGTTTACAATAAACTCGAAAACAGATGACTCATCAAAATGGTTTTCGACACAGTCGACTTACTGTTACGTAAAACCTGTAAGAATGTGAACGGGCCATGATTGAAGCACGCAGTAATGTGAACGAGCCGGGCAGATACAATGCAGCTATTGGCCAAAAGTCTAATGGCGAGACCTCGTCCAATCAAAACAAAAACAAGCCAGGTTTTTGTAGTGCCAGGAGGACGCTGAAAGTTTTCCTGCCGCTCGTTCACTGACAACCTAACTACCACCTAACTACCACCTAACTACCGTTAACCCTAACTACTTTCCTAGGTAAACAGTCAGCCGAGAGTAACCGTACAAGTAAACATCCACAATCCGATACAACCTGCCCAGGATAACAAACTCTATCCACTGTGCTGGATAACATCCATGTGCTTCTACTAACATTTGTAAGCTAGGCTAAACGAACGATGACATTTTAAAACTGTGACATCTGAAATAGTAAGCTGAGCTGACGATGACATTTGTAGAATCTGAAATACTTTGCTAATCTCAAGATGACATTTGAAAACTATGACATCTGAAATAGCATGCAGAGCTGACTATGACATTTGGCTGACGATGACATCTGTCTGACTATGACATCTGGCTATGACATCTGATTGACTATGACATCTTGCTGACGATGACATCTGGCTGACGATGACATCTGACTGACTATGACATCCCATGCACAAAACTTACAGACTGAGACAACTGAGTCACCTGATCAAGGTCACGGTGACATGTCGCTTCCCTGACAAATGTCAAGGTAACTTTGAGCACGGTAAACATCTTCAAACCCTGTCATTTTGTCTTCAACAAAAAACTTTCTGGCTAAATTCCAGGTCATTCACCTTTGTGAACTCTATAGTAAGACGAGTTTGTTGTTTGTTTTCATAGTCTGATACAAGTTTGTCTTCTTGATGGCCAACTATTGGTTGATGGCCAACTGTTGGTTGATGGCCAAATGTTGGTTGATGGCCAAATGTTGGTTGATGGCCAGATGTTGGTTGATGGCCAACTGTTGGTTGATGGCCAAATGTTGGTTGATGGCCAAATGTTGGATGATGGCCAACTTTTGGTTGATGGCCAACTGTTGGTTGATGGCCAACTGTTGGTTGATGGCCAAATGTTGGTTGATGGCCCACTGTTGTTTGATGGCCAGATGTTGGTTGATGGCCAACTGTTGGTTGATGGCCAACTGTTGGTTGATGGCCAGATGTTGGTTGATGGCCAGCTGTTGGTTGATGGCCAACTGTTGGTTGATGGCCAACTGTTGGTTGATGGCCAACTGTTGGTTGATGGCCAACTGTTGGTTGATGGCCAGAGGTTGGTTGATGGCCAACTGTTGGTTGATGGCCAACTGTTGGTTGATGGCCAACTGTTGGTTGATGGCCAACTGTTGGTTGATGGCCAACTGTTGGTTGATGGCCAGAGGTTGGTTGATGGCCAACTGTTGGTTGATGGCCAACTGTTGGTTGATGGCCAACTGTTGGTTGATGGCCAGATGTTGGTTGATGGCCAACTGTTGGTTGATGGCCAACTGTTGGTTGATGGCCAGATGTTGGTTGATGGCCAACTGTTGGTTGATGGCCAGCTGTTGGTTGATGGCCAACTGTTGGTTGATGGCCAACTGTTCGTTTCTTGCTCTGTAATAAACGGTAAAAAAAAAACAATTTGGGAGATTTAACTACGGGCAATTTTGCCCAGAATTTATCAAAGACAGAAAAAAAAAATGTTCAAGTAAGACTTGCCGCGTCATCTTTTTTCCTGGGCAAAAAATAATTTGGCCACTTCTTTAGTTATACCAATAAATTTAGCTGGAATGTGGCCACCCACGGTTGGCCAACGACAGGTAGCCCAAAGCAAGCTACCTGTCAATTTTTCTGTAATCAAACTACAGGTTTCATTGATAGCAAATAACACGTGGCTTGGTTTGAAAATATTCTAGCGTTTGATAGAATGTATTGATAGTCGTTCAGAGTCTAGGTCAGTGGTTGTAGGGTAGGTGAGAGGTGGTTCTTGTGTCAGATGAGACTGTATGACTGTCTCTCTCTCTCTCTCTCTCTCTCTCTCTCTCTCTCTCTCCCTTTCTCTCTCTCTCTCGCTTTCTCTCTCTCTCGCTTTCTCTCTCTCGCTTTCTCTCTCTCGCTTTCTCTCTCTCGCTTTCTCTCTCTCGCTTTCTCTCTCTCGCTTTCTCTCTCTCGCTTTCTCTCTCTCTCTCTCTCTCTCTCTCTCTCTCTCTCTATATATATATATATATATATATATATATATATATATATATATATATATATATATATATATATATACATATACATATATATACATATATATATATATGTATTATATCTATGCAACTTTAAATAGCATAGAACATGTGTGAACTAAAGTATTGATGCAGAGAGCGTGAATAAATAAAGCCAACGAATGAAGCCCAAGCATATATAAATCGATCAAGTAGCTCTGATTGTACGAAGGTGTTAGCTCCGCTAATGATACAAAAATAAACGGCTGGGTGTGTCGGGAAACTCACAGCACAAAGTCTGATGCACACCACCGTTTATCGCCAACTCTACTGCACCCACTGCTCATGTTTTTATAACTTCCGGTTGCGCATGCTCTGTATGCGTGTTTGGCTGAGCGAGAAACGTGACGCTTGTTGTGACGTCAGATCGATGCTGGCAGGCTTTACGCCTGATTTCACCCAACTGGAAAAGCCAAGATGAGTTTCGTGTAGTGGTTGCGTCCCTTGTTCGAGCAGAAAGAATTACCGCCCGTGAGTAAACAGAGCATTCGGGGACGTAGTTTGTAGGACTGGTCAACTCAGCTAGAACTTGGTCATTTTGTCAACTCAGCTAGAACTTGGTCATTTTGTCAACTCAGTTAGAACCTGGTCATTTTGTCAACTCACCTAGAACCTGGTCATTTTGTCAACTCAGCTAGAACCTGGTCATTTTGTCAACTCACCTAGAACCTGGTCATTTTGTCAACTCAGCTAGAACCTGGTCATTTTGACAACTCAGCTAGAACCTGGTCATTTTGTCAACTCAGCTAGAACCTGGTCATTTTGTCAACTCAGCTAGAACCTGGTCATTTTGTCAACTCAGCTAGAACCTGGTCATTTTGTCAACTCAGCTAGAACCTGGTCATTTTGTCAACTCAGCTAGAACCTGGTCATTTTGTCAACTCAGCTAGAACCTGGTCATTTTGTCAACTCAGCTAGAAACTGGTCATTTTGTAATGTAAACTGCAACTTGGTCATTTGGTAAAGTCAGCTAGAATTTAAAGTAAAAAAGTAGTTTCCCTTTCAAAAGTGAAAGTAGTGTTCACTTGTTTCTGTGACCTCGGCA